AGGATTGAAAAGTTGATGTTTTATGGATTTGCTTATAGATAAGGGATGGGATATGGGATGAAAAGGTATCTGTTTAATCTTATAGGGTGTGAAGAATTATTAAATTGGTTTATACTTGTTGTGATTAAGGTTGGAAGCCACCTTTATATATTTCTTTTCTTTTTCTTTATTATATTCTCTCTCTTTTCTTTATTTTTTTTCTTTTCTTACACTTTTTATTCTTTCTTTCCATTTTCTTCTATTTCACTAAGTTTAATTTGTATTAGTCTTTACTACTGTAATTAAAATTCTTAATAAAAATTATATTTAGGTAAAAGAGGAAAAAAATACCCCAAAATCACAGAAGAACGTGGAATTGCTCCAGATGAAGAGCAATGTGGTCTGATCCCTGGCATAACGTTCCATGAATGGGGTCATATGATTTTGCTATAATAGCCTTATCTGGAAGCATGCTTGCTTTCTGTTTTGAAATGTGAAAAGCAGCAACTAATCAGTCCACATATATCCTACTCTGAGTAATCTAATTGATTGCATTAATTCAGATACATTATAGTTTTCTTTTGTCTAGCATTTCACTTGTTTTATCTCCAATCAGCATAATATTTATGTACAGTATCATCTGGTCGGTTGAAGTACTACCACACCCTTCCTCTGACATAACTCCTGTCAGAAGTTTTTCATTCTTGTTTGTGATAATGAGGACTGAACCTTCCTTTCAAAGACTTGACTTGTCTTTCATTCATAGTTAACTACCTGAATCTGCATTCAAAAACCAATCAATTGTAGCTTAATATTCAGAGCAATCCTAACTCCCTTGGGCAGCCATTTCAGAAAAGGATGGATGGGATAGATGGTCCATTAGCTCTAGTGTTATTGGTCTGCCTGCCACTTTGAGTCCTAAGTATATTTCTAGTGTTCCTGCCCACAGAAGTCAGCAGAAGACCCTGGAATATTTCAAGGGTTGGTCAGGACAGACTTGGATCCAGTTGTTTGTTCTCTTAGAGGGCCCTGAGTCTTATTCCCCACAACGCCAATCTGGAGATTAGGTAACTAAATTCTCTCCCCATTAAAATCAGTTGAAGTGGGATTTGATAAAAAGAAAGCAGTGCAGCAGGAGAAAAGACAAATTTACTCTAGTACATCCAGACATAGCTTCTGCCCTTGCTAGCACAAGCAAGTAGTGCTTGCAGCTTGTTCCACCTTAAATTCTATGCCTTAAATGTCTACAAGAATAGCATGGAAAAAGATTTGTACTAAGTATATCTTGATTTGCCTCAAAATATTTCTGCAGTCCTCATCCTTCTGGAGTACAGAAAATTTGCTTAGGATAAACTTGAATCTAGTTAAGCTCTATTTATAAAATGATATAAAATGAAAGTCTCAGATAAATGCAGAATATTGTAATCTGAAAGCAGTAATGAATCAATTCTTAAGAATAAAACTTCTAGAAGAGACAGGATAATGTGCTGCATAATAGCTTCGCAGTAGCAATCTTATTGTTTCAATGTAAATGAAACTTCTCTTAGCTTTGGTGGGGCTGTTCAGAGGCATTCTGGGACAACTTTGGTTGTGTGAATGTATTCTCACCAAGCCTGCAAACCTGTCTTATTTCAACACACTGCCAGTCCATCTAGCTTTAACTGAAGAGCACAATTCTCCAGGGTCTCCAGCAGAAGTCTTCTGCTATTTGGTCATATTAACAGTTAACTGGATATAGAGCTTTGGG